GCACATTTTATTTTGTATGTTTTATGATTCAAAAAATAAAAAGTCTGGGGGTGGGAGGGAAAGGGAGGGGGAAGAGGATTGGCAAGGATGGTGGAATGTGATGGTCATCATTATACATGTACAGAGATTTGAATTTGGTGTCCACATACCTTATATACAGAGATATGAAAATTGTGGTATATATGTGTATTAAGAATTGTGATGTAAGATGATGCCTTACTGAGAACTCCCAGGGCAGTGGTTTTCACCTAGGGAAACCAGGCGATCCCTCTGCCCCTCCAACCAGGGGCATTTGGCAACTCTGTAAAAATTAGTGGTAAAATATATATAACCTAAATTTGCCATCTCAATGCATATGATTTGGTGGCAACATTAAGTACATTCATGTTGTACAGCCATCTCCACAGTTTCCGAAACTTTCCATCACCCTAAACAGAAACCAGCCCAATTAAGCACTAACTCTCAATGTCGGGACTTCCTAGGGGGGCGACCTGCTACTGGTATCTAGTGAGCAGGGCCAGGGATGTTGCTCAGCATCGTACAAACCTCAGGACAGGCCCCCGGACAAACAATCATCTTGCCCAAAGCCAACAGTTGGCAAGGTTGAGAAACCTCTGGATGGATCCAGGCATCTGGGACAGGAACTGACCACATTGCACAGGAGCTGCTGCAATGCAGGGTTGAGCAAGAGGAGAGCCTTCGTCCAGTACAACCTCACACACACCAGGGGCCTCTGACAGATTCCTCAGCTGTCATTCCTCCTGGCAGGGCTCTGGCTACACAAAGATCCTCACCACTAATACACAGGTCATCGAAAGGACGCCCAAGGGTGAGGTCACAACAAAAGCAGCCTCTCTGGAACAAAAGTGTCTAGGGAATGGTAAGAAGCACGGCTGTGAGGAGCGCAGAATCTCCCGGTACTGTGAGCATGGCCAGTGGACTCCCACTCAGAAGCCAGCAATAGCCAGGCAACCACATGAGAAAAACATCTCCAAAGGAGACTAGGACTTCCAGGCAGCCAACCACCGATTCACATGGCGACCAGGGACTGAGCCATTCATCAACAGATACAGTAAGATAGGGGTAGATTCTATAGCAAATATGAAGAAAAAAATCCTGTGTTAGTTCAAAACCATCCTAAAAAAATCCCTTAGGAAACAAACATATGAGCTCCCAACAGGGCAGGTGCAATATTCCCTCCAACTTTGATGAAGTTCAAGTGAGCAACACAGAAATGGCAGCTTGAACTCAAGATCTACTATTGGCAGAATGCCTGTATTTGGAAAGATGCACAGAAACTGAGCCAATGCAAATTCAGAGTCCCATCCTACCTATCCAGGGATGAATACTAGTTAAGTGGAAAGGCAGACAGAATCACATGACTACTTAGTTTTCCTACTTTTTCCTTCTCCCCCCTCCAAAAGTATGAGGCTCAAAGAGTAAGGGCTCTTACGACAGACCTCCACAGTATTTACTGAGCACCTATTATGTGTTAGATACCCTGGGTGATTCTGTGTGGTCAGTGAGCTGCTCCATACAACCTATCTCATCCATTCAGGCTGTGATGTCAGCATTAGGTCCCACCCTTTACCAAATGTCTCTGGCTTCCTCTGCCCCTACCTCTGTCATGGAGCTTCACATCCAAGTTCCTTCCAGAGCCACACCTGAGGATGGAAGTTGGTACGCAGACCTCCTCAGTGAGGATAAATAATTCTGCACAGGGCAAACACTAAGGTCTGAACCTGCTCTGATGCAACCCAGTCCCAACCTCGGAGGTCATTTCACGGGACCCTTCGTGTGGAATTCAAAGTTCCTTCATTTGCCCCCAAAAGATTCCCACATACTCCTCTGCTCCTTGGACTATAAATAGCTGTCTGGCTATACCTTCCCCAGGAGAGACAAAATATCTGCTCATCGCATTTTCTTGTTTACAGAACTTGCAACATGGAAATTAAAAGTCCAAGTCTTTAAGAAGCTGTTCAAAACTTTCAGCCTGTTGAAACTACCAAAGTATTAATCCCTTCTCTCAGCAGGGAAGAAAGGTGTGGGCCCTGGAGCAAGACTTGGGCTTGAGTCCTGCTGTCTCACACTGTTTGATTTGGGGCGAGCTACTTAACCTTTTTGTGCCTGGTCTTTGAACTGTGGTCTTTTCCCAAGGATGGAAAGGTTAGTGAGATATTTCCTAGCATGGAAATAGACGCACTGAAAACATTCACACCACCATTAAGTACCTTTGCCCTCGAAATACAGATGCAGACATCTGAAAACAGCCTGAGACATGCACCTTTGTGGTCCATGCACCTGGTGTGGATGTGGTCAGAGTGACACAGCCCCTCTGATGTATACAGTGCACAGCTTTACAGGGTGGCAGCACCTGAGGGTCACCACAGTGGACCTCTATGACCTCTCCACCCAAAAGCCTCTGTCCACCTGAGGATGAACTCCTTGTGGACAGTTTTCTCCTCTGCATACAGGACATGAGCAGGGCACAGTAGCTGACAGTGGTCAACTTCCTGCCTCAAGCTGTCCTGTTTCCATCATTCCCTAGCCACATAACTTTGCAGCAATTTATGCTTCTCTGTGTCTCGGTTCCATCTGTAAAATAAAGAAAATATTCGAACATACTTTGGGGATTACTTAGATTAGCATTTGGCAGATGAAGCAGTTTTTACTTTTTAACAAAAGAAAAGATCTTTGGGACCTCAAATTTTGCATGCCTCAAATCTATATCCTTTGCCCTCAACCTTATTTTCCTTCCTAAATTTCAATTATCCAATCCAACTTAAAAACAAAAACAAAACTTAATCCTCCCTACTCTTCCTATAGCTTCCTCCCCTGCCTGCTCTCTCCCCAGCCTAACTACCAAGATCCATCAATTCTTCCTATAACTCTTTTCCTGCCCACACCACCTGAGCGCAGACCCTCTTCTCTTACATAGATCCCTCTGGCCTCCTCCTTATAGCCCTGCCAACACCATTCTCAGCCCTCTTAACATCCTCCTTTCATGCTCCTACCAGAAGTAAGTGCTCAGGACTCCAATCTGACCACACCCTGCCTCCCTCTAAACCTCTAATGGCTTCCCATTGCTCCTTCACTAGGATGCACAGCCCTCCACAGTCTGGCTCCAATGCACTTCCTGCTCCAGCTACGGGGGGATATGGCTGCCTCAAAATATGCCAGGTCCTTTCGCACCTTTGGCCAGCCCCTATCCTCTCCAGTAGGCAAACCCCACCCCTCCTCCTGGGCTCTTGAGACTTTCTTTCAGCTCCTCCACTACTTGCAGCAATGTCCTCACCCCTTCCCACCAGCAAACTGTCCATCCTCAAATGCATGCAAGGATCATGCTTTCCCCTGTGACCCTAGTCCTGGCAGGGTGATTTACAATAGGCAATGAGTAAGTAATTTGGCAGATGGCAGATACTAGGGTGCAGAATAGGCAGGAGCTATCCAGGAATGTATTATGAAATGCCTGTAGGCCAGGGCCTGAGCTCTAGCTTTGATCCTTTTAAGGGACTGCAAAACTGCATTTATAGTTTTCCCTCTAGCCTTTAGCTCCAGTGCCCCCCACTACTACTAAAATTTGGGCCTGAGCCAAAGGCAAAGTCAATCCATATCTCTCTCTTTCATGGAGACCGATTTTATTTTATTGGTTGACAATCAACCTTTGTTTTACTTATTTATATGCGGTGCTAAGAATAGAACCCAATGCCTCACAGATACCAGGCAAGTGCTCTACCACTGAGCTTCAACCTCAGCCCAAGAAACCCATTCTTTACATGTTACACATTCCAAGTGCTCAATTCTCTTGGAGGGGAGCCCTGGGAATGCACTGCTACCCCAAAATTCTGCCTTTTCCAACTGTTTACTCTTACTGAACCTACAATGTCTTCAGCACCTAGTGCTCTCAGTCCCCCCCAAACCACTATGGGGTGGGGGGGTGCGACACCAGCCTAGCTGCAGCCCACATCCTTTCCCCCAAAGGCAAAGCACCCTCCCAGTTAAGTAAAGAAGAACCAACATCAGAAACACAGGTTTTTTCGTAGACTTGGACTGATGCACAAATATTGTCACCCAAAGTCATGCTCAGACATGAGTCCTACCAAGTGTTTCCATGGTCTGGGGCTTTACCAGCCACTTCCCTGATGCAGCCAGAAGGTCAGGAAGCTGAGCACTGCCAGTGAGCAAACAGACCATGGCTCTGGACTAAAGTGCCTGTTGCCACACCCTCCCTTATTCCCAGAACCTTGCTGCCATTTCATTCTAGCTGGCAGGCAAGACCTCCCACTGCACCCCAATACCTTGCCACACAATGAATGAGTCAGACACTAGGACAGAAGCCCACCATGGCTAGAGGCAGATCTAATGCAGAGGTATGTGCCCTTTAAGATATCTTAAATAGTCCCTACTCATGGAAATGCACACCCCTTGCCTCAATCATTCACAGAAAGGACAAAACCTTCCCTTCCTCTCAGGCAGGAGACAAAGGAGCAGGGGTATCACTTTGCCACTTCGCGTTCATCCACTTTCTACAACATAAGACACATGGAAGTAATTAGCAAAATTGATTCCCAAAGCTCCACAGTTGTCTCTGGGGCCCATCTTTCAGGAACTTTTTCCTAGGTAAAGCAATTCCTCAGTAAGACGTGCCCTAACAAGCTCTAGAAAATGGGATCCAGTGTTGGCTGACGGCCAGGAAAATTTGCAATACGGTTTGGTTTTTAACTAACATTAGGAACGGAGAGTACTTCTGGTCCCTCCACCAAGGATATGAATTTTGGAAGTTGGAACTGTGGCACAATCCACGTTCTTGGAGACCAAAGCTCCTCTCACTTTCCCCTTCCACAAAGAGCTGCTGGGGGGAACCAGAGAATCCTACGGAGACTTGCAGAGTGGGTTCAATCAAGGACCCCGGCCCGCGCTCCCAGCAGCTCTCAATTTCCCACTCCTGAGGAGGGTCTCGGTCCGACCTTGCGCAGAGGTGACCCCGAGGACCGGCTCACCTCCCGTGCAGAGCGGAGTTGCTGGCGCAGCGCGTCCTTGCAGCCGTAGGGGCCGCGGGCGTCCGTGCCGCGGGGCTGGAAGTGCGCCTCGACGCGCGTGGCGCCGCGGTAGGCGCCCTGGTAGAAGGCGGGCCAGCCGAGCTCCAGCAGCGGCGGCTCCAAATCCGACTCCTCGGGGAAGTAGGTACCGGACGAGCAGTCGTGAGATGAGCCGAACGAATCCTCGGCCGCCGCTGCCGCGCCCTCCTCGCCGGGCCGCTCCGCAGCGCCCAGGACTGCGCGCACCTCGTCGGGGTTCAGGAAGCGGCCCAGGCGCTCGCGGCGCAGGAAGGCCGCGAAGGCATCCGGGCCGCCCGCCACCAGCTCCTCGAGCGCCAAGCGCCGCGCCTCGCTGAAGAGCTCGGCGGGGTTGGGCGGCCCGCACGGCGACAGGCAGGCGGTGGGCAGCTCGTCCAAGATGTCGGGACGCAGGGCCATGGCGGCGAGGAGACCCGACCACGCTCGGGCTGGGAGGCGATGCGGACGCACTTTATAAGCATCTTTGAATCAAACAGGCCCGCGCCATTGGCCGCCCCGCCCCGCCCCGGGTGTCCCATTGGCTGCCACCCTCCTAACGGCGGGGAGGGGAGGAGCTAACGCCGCACGGCCACGCCTGCCTGTTGCTATTGGCTGCCCAGCGGCCCGCTCAGCCCGACCCACAGACTGTGCTGCCCTGGTGGCTGGCTGCGATAGCAGGCTCCGGCTCTCTCTGCAGGATTGCTGAGCGGAACTTAAATTTAGCTACTCTGTGCCCGCCGCGACTTAGCCGTTCCAGCTCCGGCCCTTCTAGAGACCGAGCTCTGCGCGATCTGCTAGAGGGAACCGGCGGGCCTGAAGTGCTGTGCAGCCCCGGGGGGCGGCCGAATCAGCGAAGCTGGGAGACCCGAGAGGCCCGGACCATTCCCCGCGCGCCCCCTGCTGGCCGCCCCACAAAGTGGCCCTATAAGGCCTGGGACAGCCAGATCTATCCAAGGAGGGCGAGTTGGTGCTTGCTTCTGGGCACTGTGACCGCACTATTGCTGGGCTCTCAGAGCGTGGGTGTGGTCAGCTATGACAAATTTATCCCCTGCATCTAATCTTCCATTCATTCGTTCAAAAAATACCGGACTATCATGAAAGCCACTCCTTCAATTACACCCTTCTCTTTCATCTCTCTCACTTTGTAGTTTTTGCCCAGCAAAACTTCAATTCAATCCTGTTTAAGCCTCACTTTCCACCTACTTTTCATCTGCACCCGGGCAGCCATACGGGGCTGGAGGGGGGAAAAAAATGCAACCTTGTTCGTGGACTGGTTGTGCTCCAGATGCATGATCTTAAGTGTGCCCTAAGATTGCCTGCCAGCCCACACTGCACTCATTCCCTCTGTCTTTTTCTCTCTCCTTATTCTCAGTGAGCTTATTTCCCACTTCACTGAGAAAAAAGTAGAAGTCAGAAGAGGTCTCCACAAGCACCCACCATCCCCACCATGCCACCTCCCTGCCAGCAACTCTGCCCACACGGGCCTTCTGTTTCCATGGGTGAACTGTGCCTATCTGACACCACCCTTTCTGCTAGGGCACAGGCTTTCAGTCTCTCTAAAGCTAACCCCTATCTCTCCAGCAATTCTCCCCTCTCTCCTGAATCGTCATTTTCCATTTTTTATTATGTATTTTTCTTGTGCCAGGGATTAAACCCAGGGACACTCCACTACTGAGCCATGTCCCCACCCCTTTTTGTATTTTATTTAGAGACAGCGTCTCACTGAGTTGCTTAGGGCCTTGCTGAGATGCTGAGGCTGTCTTCGAACTTGTGATCCTCCTGCCTCAGCCTCTCAAGCTGATTACAGATGTGAGCCACCACACCCTGCTACTTTCACTTCTTTATTGATTCATTCCTAACAGTACAGTAATGCTGAAGTATAGCTCATCTTGAAACAACCCTCTCTTGCCCCTACATTCCTCTAGAGCTACCCACCCCCATTTCTCTGCTCACTTTCACAGTCTACAACCTCAAATAAGTGGTCTATAATGACTGTCCAGTTCCCCCTTTCAATTCTCTCTTGAACTTTCTAATCAAGCTAATGCCCCACTGTTCTGCCAAAACCTCTTGTCAGGTCACCATGAGCCCCGCAGTGCTAAATCCAACAGCTGATTTTTGGACTTCATCTTCTTTGGGTAAACGGGCAGAAGGCATGTGTGCAATTGTAAAGCACTTCATCCATGTCAGCGGATTCCAACTTCTAAAATAGTTGAATGAGTTCTGCTGCTAAAACACCCCTTCCTCTCTTCCCAGCCTCTCCCCATCCCCAGTCTGTGAAGTTATTCAAGCCCAAGTGTGGAGCCTTCTGTGTCCCTGCTCTGGGAACCAGCATCCAGAAGGCTACAAGAGAACACCCTTTCCATCCTCTTTCAAGGCATCAAGAACTTCTATATGTGACAAGGACAAGGGCCATGGTGTGGGGTTGTGCAGACAGATAGCTTGTTTATGCTCTTCTTGCTGATGGAGTGGGGGTGGGGGTGGGGAGAGAGAATAAAACCAGGGCTTTCTGTGTTGCTGTAATAAGGTGAAGGACTATACAGGACTGTGCTTCCCCACTGTAAGCTAAGTGAGAAGGACTGGAGTGGGTGGGGGAAGGGACAGGACAAGTCAGTGATCTCCATGCATGGAACAGAGGAGGGGGACCCAGTGTTACATATGAGTATGTCCTCAGGCAAGGTTTTGAAAATATTGGCAATATCATATGCTACTAGAGGGCCTCACATAATTTCAAAGGCAATATATGACAGAATCAAGTTCATTTCCAATTGCCTGTGTTTTCTTGAATTCATCAGTTTTCACCATCTCCAAATCTAGAAAGACATCAGCCATGTGTTGGAGTCCCCAGAACTCAGGGGCCTCCGGGGACCATGACCTACCCTCCATTCTTGCACGACTTTGCAAATTCAAGTCAGTCTGGTCCAAGTCAGTCCCCAGCAATAACCACAGTCACACTAGCAGATGTTATTAAAAGGAATTTAATAATCTTAATTAAAAACTCTTAACAGCGAATTCTGTCACAGGCCTTGGCAGCTGGAAGCAACTCCAGGGGCATGCGCCCCTTGGGGATGTGGCTGGGCCCAGTCTTGGACATGAGACCCACCGCTGCCACATGGCAAGGAGTTACCAGGAAGTTATTCAATACAATATCAAAGATCCATGAGGATATTTTTTTTAAAAAAAGTTTTAAATATATTAGACTCTCTTGATTGCCATTTTTACACAAAGCTGCTGATACAGTATACAGAGTTTTAACTGTTTTTTTTTTCACATAAAATACATTTTTCTTAAGTGTTCTCTGTACATCAGTGGCTTCTGGTCTGGTGAATTATTGCGGAGGGCTGGGGGTCTGCAGACTGTTTCCTGGGTGTGCAGAGCCAGGCCCCGCACAGTGGCACTTGCAATGCCCACAGGAAGCAGGCCCTCCAACCAACAAGAGCTCCCTCTGGAGGAGAGGACCACAGCTTCTGGCAAAGGGAGTCACTCCTGCTGAGTTGTCCATTGACCATGTGACCCTTTGCTCTAGTGTGCCCTGGGGAAGGGGAGGCTAACCCCAGGCCCCAAATAGCAGGGGTTACATACGGTCTTTCTGGGCATCTTGTAACGAGCGCCCTTCTGGAAACTTTGCTCTGGGAGAGCAGGTGGGAGAGACAGCTCCGAATCAAACAGTGCCTGACACCAAGAACCAAGAGTCACATGTTATTACAAAGCCAGCAAACTTGTGGTAGGCCGGGACAGGGGCCACATCTTTGTCTACTTTTCTAAGCTTTTTGAAACTGACCAAACAGTGCAGAGCTGTACGTTTGATGTAAAATTATATCCTGAAGTCTTCAGTAGACCTGGGCCTAGGGTTCATTCAGGTTCCCTGAGCTACTGGCAGGAAACTCACAATCTGGAGATAACCACCAATTTCCAATTGTTTGGGGCATAAGGTGGGAGCAAGAGCCAGAGCTCACAGCGAGCCAGGCGGCACCTGCCTTCAATCTGCCAGAAATTGCCACCAGACCTGGGACTCAGCGGGAGCTGGGCATCAGGTGGACCTTGCCAAGTTTCTCCCAGCTCTTTGATCCACACCTGCCAGGGAGAGAGGCTGATTCACAGGAAAGATTTGATGTTAAAAGTAGGAGCTGCTTTCCCTCCCAGTCCCCACTGGTGGAGTTGGGGGGCGGGGGCTATGATAGATAAGCAAGACACAATGACTTAAGACCAGTGATGCATTTGGCAGCAAAACCCGAAGACTCCTTATCTTCTAGACGATGACCTCAGACTGCTATTATACAATCCCCCCTAGGGATGCTGGCCTGGAGGCAGCTGACTCTGAAAGTTCCTGATGAACTTGGGATGGTGTCTGCCTGGGACCCTAGATCCAGCATCTTCACCCAGTGGCAAATGTTATCCAGGGTTGGCCACGAAGGTATTTCTCAGTTAAAAGGATTCACATACTTAAGGATTCCAGAAGCTGAATGGCATGGGGCCCCTGGGCCAGGATGCAGTCCCTCTGCTCAGGTGAACCAGGTAGGGCTGCTGATGTCTGTGGTCCTGAAGGAATGAAAACCAGGAAGTGTTCTCCTCACTCCATCTTTGTTCCTCCTCCTTCTGCAGAACCTGACATAGTGCCTGTATGTTTCAGCTACTCATAAAGTTAATGAATGAACGAACTGATGACCCTGGTTCACTCACTGGAGGTTGTTCTCTAACTCATCCCTCAACATTCAGGAGACCCACCACCAGGAAGAGCTCTCCAGGGACTCAAAGTCCTAATAGGGAACATTTATCCCTGATGGAAAATCAGAGCTAAAGCCCTGGAGTCATCTCTAAGGTCAGCTCCTGTGGGGGAATCAGCTGGGATTCCCAGCCTTCTGGGTGGAGAGGAATGACCCAGAAGAAGGAGGGAAGGAAGGAGGGAATGGCCGGGAGGGCTCAATATGGGCAGTAGATGCCTTTAGCCTCTGGCCCCTGCTCAGGAAGATCAGAACACCTGCATAGTTGTTTCCTGGGGAGGGGGGCTGCCCAGGCATGCCCCACCTTGTAGGCCAAGTTAGCCACAGAGGCATCTCAGTGGAGCTGCATACTATTTTAAAGCCAGAAGTATGTTTTTTTGGATATTCTCCTGCTTTTGCCATATGCTGAGTTGATGGAGATTGTACTCCCAGACCCCAGAGATGCGAGAGGTGTCATGCACACCTGATTTCAGTCTCCAATGCTGCACCTGTGCCCTAGACTCCTCTGTCCTGGAGTTGGGGTGGGGTGACCAGGTACTGGGAGATCTGCTCCTACAGCCACCAGGGCCACTCTCTGGCCCAGCTGCTGTGCTCTTGGCAAAGCATCAACCAGACCCCTTGAGTTCCTGCTTCCTCTCTGGGATATAGGAGCCATGGGGGCCACAGACAGGACAGAGACTGACATAGAGCAGACCCCATTACTAGGTTGTGGCACAAGGCAGGGGCTCCTCCAGCCCCAGTCCCCTGACCCCAGGGAGAATTCTCA